CCCTAATGTTGTTCTCATCCACTACAGTATACTGAAGTCATCATACAGATGAAGAAGTATGTGTTGACGAAACCATAGTAAAAGTTCATTCAAATATTATAAGGAAATTTATGTAAGAAATAATAACTGGATTATGAATGCATAATATAAACTCAATTATTATTAAATTGTGTAAATAATGAGTTATAATGAATCATTGGTTCAAACTCCACCTGTAACTCACATAAAATACGATGATTTAGCTTAGTAATTAGAATATAAAAACTAATTTACTTTACTACGGTTTAATATTTTGCAGTCTATGAAAGATTTATAACCGATGGGTTCGAATCCAATGATGTCCATTAATAAATGAAAATTTATTATTTCGAGCAAATTTTCTCAAATAATATACATATAAAATACTATGAAAACCATTACATCTTATCCTGATAATCATAAATACCTGATCTTTGGAAAAGTAACATATTTCAGGTTCTTAGCTTTGCACTACTAGTTTCATATTAGTAACCAAGTGAATTTAAGAAACCCTTTAATTTAATATTATTTATAAGCAAAGATAAATAATGGCTAGCAGTGAGATCCAGGATGCGCGTTTCGTCTTATTTGGGACTCGTCAGCTGGATGTACTTGCATCTCAGAGTTGATGTTCACTCTTTGACGCGATTCCTGTACCATTCGCTTCAAACGCCATCGCCTTATCCACTCAGCAACATCAACTCTGGGATGCAGATTGTAGTGTCAGTTATTATATTAAGCCCATATACCTTATTCTAGCTTTCGGACATTCCATTCTATTCATTCTACTTCAGTCATATTTTGACCTTGTCAATTATTCGCTTATCAGTCTTAACTTTTTATATGAGCGTATATGTGTGTGCCCTTCTTATTTCATTAATCACATGTCTGTAGCTTTATTTTGTCTGCCTATAAATATTGAGTAACGCTTGACTAAAATGGAGTTGGCTTTCCAGCCATCTTCCATACGCGTCATTTTTGCTTTGCTCTGCTTCATTCGCTTCATATACAAAATATATGTATTCATAAGTCCATTCTCGTTATTCGACTTATTTAATTCCGTTATTGACTAACGCGATTTATGTCGACGATTATATACGAGAATAGGCCATGACAATCATTCGTACGATCTTGGAGGCCACGAAAAGATACATCCAACTGACGAGTGTGTATTTAGTTTTGTAGACACATTTCCCTGAACTTATAAAAAACGAATGAATTAGTAAGCACTTTTTCTTTTATCTTGTTATGTAATCATGTCTATTTTACTGTAATTTAACAATCTGTACATTCAACCTATAATATCTGTTGTGTGTTTGTGTTTCTCGATAAAAGGAAATTCAATTATCTCATTTTCATGGGAAATAAAGACAACATTCGATTCATGTTCTTTATATCTATCTGCATTGAAAATACCGTCCGTAAACAAAAACACCCTACAGCTGTTTAGTCTAATTTTTTAAGCGGCAAAATATAATTGGATTCCATGAATATTTTACATTTTATTTATGGGAATCTAATATTCCTTAAATATTTACTTCACCCCTGTTTTTTTGTTTTTGCTCACATGTATTTACATCAAAATACTGTAATTTACATTTTTTTTCTTTATTTATAAATATTACTTACTTACGCCTGTTACTCCTCGTGGAGGAGAATAGGCCTCACAACAGCTCTCTCCATCCAACCTTGTACCAATCAATCTATTCCAGTTCTTTCCGGTTGTTACTCATCCTTTTCATATCTGTTCCTATTTCCCGACGTAATGTGTTATTTCGCCTTCCTATTTTTTGCTTCCTTTCAGGGTTCTAAGTTAGGGCTTGTCTCGTGATACAGTTTGGTGGTTTGCGTAATGTATGTCCTATCCATTTCCATCGTCTTTTCCTAATTTCATCTTCAGGAAGAAGCTTGTTTATCCACTCTCACAGTAGACTGTTGCTGATGGTATCCGGCCATGGATGTTGATTATGTTATATAGACAACTATTTATAAATACTTGTACCATTTTGTTGATGGTTGTAGTAGTTCTCGAAGTTTCAGCTCCGTACAGTAGAACTGTCTTGACGTTCATATTGAAGATTCTGACTATGATATTGGTTGAAAGTTGTTTTCAGTTCCATATGTTCTTCAATTGTAAGAATGTGGCTCTTGCTTTACCAATCCTCCCGTTTATGTTTGCATCGTATTTTCTTTGTTTATCAATGGTGCTCCCCAAGTACGTGAAAGATTCCAAATCTTCCAGGGCTTCTCTATCAAGTGTGATTAGACTGGTGTTCTCCGTGTTGTATTTTAGGTTCTTTCTTTTTCCTTTGTGTGTGCTGAGACCTACTGATATATAGGCTATTCATAAATAAGAATGATTATTAAGTCAGTAAGGTAGTTTTGTTTGAAATATATAAAAAGCGATTACTTAACGAACTATATAATACCACCACTTTTTTTGGTAACAACCATGTATAGAAGTGTAACGACTGGAAATTTCATTCTATCTTAGGACAGAATTGTATAATAGGAAATAACATGTATAAATACAATAACACTGTGTTACAACTTCCATGAGATTTATGCATACACAGTAATTTTATTTACCAATGAAGATGAAATCAAATGAACATTGTATTATGTACGTAAGAATGTTTTAGTATTCAAATAGTTATTTTATTTATTCATTTATGCGAACACATAAATATTGATATAAAAGGGGCACCGAACACATATTAATCACTCAAGTGACTTGATTGGTGTGTAGGATGTGATACTGCCTGTGCGCCCAAACCAAACCAGATGGTTTTCTTAGAGGGACCACATCGAAGCCTTTGAGCTAAAGCTCTGGTCCACAAGGCAGTGAAGTAACGTAAGGAGAGGCAGTCTCATGTTAGCCGGTGAACAACGATTGTTTCATACACCATTTGCTCCTTCAGGATCCTAGAGTTCATGTGTACCATTGGTTTGGAACTAGAGAATTCTAAATCCTCACTGTGGGTCCTCCATATCCATCAAACTGGTTAAAGCGCCGTACATTTGCTTTTCGTTCTCTTAATTTCGTAAACAACACCGGTTGCACGAGAAGGAATTGAGTAGGACTTCCGTAGGAGTGTCTGTATACGCGTGGCCATGTGAGAGCATTTGGAGAGAGAGAGCTGACTCTCCCTACTCTCGGCCATACCAGAGCATTTGGGGCACTCCACTCGTTGACTATATATCTTGGTTGTATGATACATATATTTTTGATTGATAAATAGTTAAGTACATTACTTGTTTTGATTCGGTAGTTATATCTGATAATATCCAGTCATTTTTAAATAAGCATTCACCTAACAAACTTATAATGCTTGGAAGTCACACTATATTTCATGATAATCTTAGTGATTCTTGGAAAACCACTTAAATTTTGATAATTCATTTCTCTGAACTATCAATCGAGACATTTCATATCTTCTACATTATTTTAATGGGATATCTTTCTTTTCCAAAGAAAGAAATGTATGTTAATGGCCCCTTATCCCATACCAATTAGATAGTATAAATGATTGCTATCGACTTATACATGTATATTTCATCGATTTAAATCGCGTTGGTGAATAACGGAATTATATAAGTCGAATACGAGAATGGATTTTTCGAATACATTTATTTTGTACACTCATTGATGTGGACAGGAAATCAGAGGGATGAAGCATTGAGAACAGAGCAAAACGAAATGACGCGCGATGATGGCGTGTGAGCCAACTCGATTTAACTAAGACTTAATCAGTATTTATAGTCACACAAAAATAAGCTACATATATGTTATAAGTAGGATAAGATGTAAACACACATAGGCTCATATAAAAACAATCATGTTTGACAAGTGAATAATTAACAAGGTCAAAACGTGACTCAAGAAGAACGAATAAATTGTCCTGTCCAGCAGCTAGAATAAGTTATATGGGCTTGGTACAGTAACTGACGCTACATAAACCCCTTGTAGAAAATAGCACATTTTGAAAATAACACTGAATAATCTTGACAAGAAGGAGAAATATTGTACTATACTTGATAATGCTTGAAAGTCAAATTATATTTTATGTTAAAGACAGTAGTCGACCACCTCTAACCACCATCTAATCTCAATATATAGTGCACGTAGTGTCCAGTCACCTAGACTGGTGGCCACATTGCAACATGGTCGATAGCATTCGATCTGCACTGAATAAGGACTTGACACACATAACATTGATCACCACCTAGTGATCAATCCATTGTAAAGATTCTTTGAAAACCACTTGCTTTTTTTGTGATTTCCATAAATTTGAAGTGATTACTTTTTTTGGAACAATTAATTGGGACTTCTGATCTCTTCTAGTTTCTTTCAATGGAATATCTTTCTTTTCTAAAGAAAGAAATATGCTACCAAAAAAAAAACAGTCTTTTTTCTCATGAATTCATCTTTTCACTGTAAAGCTCCTCTTGGAGACCCTTTCAGGTTATTGCCAGTCCCAAGCCTAAATAAAGGAGGAAAATTTGAGCATGAGGTTTAGCGACCTCATCCCGGTAGACAACTAACCAGAGAAAAAAAAAGTATAATTCAAAGTAATCTTTCACTGAATACAAAGATAAACTGATATTAAATCAATTTCAGTTTACTAAATTATTTTGCATTTATATCTAATTACATTAAATTAAATTAATATTGAACTATTAATGAATATAAATATACATAAAACATCATTTACTCATTGAATATTTTGATTGTTTCAATGTAAATCAATCTACTCTTTAGATTATAGAATAATAATAGTAACAGTAATAATAATAATGGCAATAATAATAGTAGTAACAATAATTGTAATGATAATAACGGTAATAATAATAGTAGTAATTAAAGTAGTAATGATAATGATGGCAATAACAATAATAATAACAATAGTAATAATAACAGTAATAATAATAGTAATAATGACAGTAGTAATAATAACAGTCATGATAATAGTAATAATAATATGAATAATAATAGTAATAATAATAATGGTAATAATAATAGTAGTAATAATAGTAATAATAATAGTGATGATAATGATAGTAATAACAATAATAATAACAATAGTAATAATATTAGTAATGATAATAGTAATAATAACAGCAGTAATAACAATAGTCACAATAATAGTAATAATAATATTAATAATAATAGTAATGATAATAATAATAGTAATAATAATAGTAATAATAATAATAGTAATAATAATAGTAATAATAATAATATTAATGATGGTGGTAATAATGATAATAATAAAGATAATTTTGTATATTATACATAATTTAATTTGTACGTGATAAAAGTTACTTATTCAACCTAATATGAATGAACAATCTTTTAAAAGTCAGTATATATTTAACTTAATGTAATGAGTTTATAAACACGATATATCAGTTTAAACAGAGTAAAAATGAATGATATCAGTGTTATATCTATCTATCTATATATATATATATATATATGTATAATCACGCGATGAAAGTGTATTCAATCTTGTAAGTGGATAATCACAAAAACACTTATTGACACACGTCAATACATCTATAGAATAGATTGAATAGATTCATCAAAGAATGTGTTGTTATTTATTTATTGCAAATTATTAAACTGCTTGTAAGAAAACAATTTCCGATTTCTATTAGTATAGAGTTGTGGAGATTATTAAATTTTTGATTGAGCTCATGAATCAATTGATGGGAGACCACTATTGAAAACTTGGATGTACTGGATGGCTGTTTCGTTCTATTGTGGGATTCCTCAACGGCGCTCATCCATGATCTTGCACTCAATATTCAAACACAGGATCTATCGGTCTCTCTCGCGAACGCCTAACCTCCAGACCGCTGATCCGGCATCCAACGGTGTTAATGTCTAATCTTAACCAATCCACAAAAATGCGCGACCATCTTTCATTGTACTGATGTAGATACCTGTCTCTACCCGACACTAGTGACTAGCTTCGTAAGTAGATTCTTGGAGTTCTAGTGAGAAGTCGTGACCAATAGAGCTAATCCTCTATTGGTTAAGCGTCAAGGAGTCCCACAATAGGACGAAACAACCGTCTGGTGCTCCCAGGTTTTCAATCGTGGTTTAACATTAATCGATTCATGATCTCAATCCAAAATATTTTCGATTTATATTTGCTACTAAATTTAAATTAAAGGAATCTTTATGTCATGAGTGCTTAAGTGTTAATTTAAAATGAACTTCAGTTGATTTAAACAAGAATTTCTTCTGAAGTTCAGCGTTCGCCTGCGAGACCGAATATCCTGGTTTCAAGTGTCACGAGCAGGATCATGGATTCGTACTGCCGAAGAATTCTATACTAGGATGAAACGGTCGTCCAGTACTTCCAGGTTTTCCATGGTGATCAAGCTTTAATCGACCCATGAATTCAACTACTAAATTACTACAATCTCTATAAAATCTCCTTTCTGACTATTCAGAATTCTTTAAATTATTATGTATAAGTAATGAAATGATAAATCTTTGAAATAATATTTACAGTGGCCAGTATATAAACCCATGCTTATATGAAAGTAGTATAAAAATAAGTGTAGATTATTTATTTAAAGAAAGTAAATCAACCTGAACATTATCGTTTTTTTCAAAAAATATAGGAAACATAATGTTGATGGATTATTTTATCATGAAGGATGCATGGAAACTGTTAATGAATTCTCAGTATTAAATGGAAATTGCTACAATGATCAACAATACGTACTTGCAAGACTGAAAGTATGCATTTTATTACACAACGCACATAAATATAATCGTGGGTTTGAACATGAAGTATACAAATATGTTTCTTTGACTGCTTTTTTCACATAAGGCATATGATAACTTGTCATTTCTTCAAACCTATAGGTATCAGTTCAGAGACCTACCTGCAGGGATTTCTCAAAGATAAAGAAGAATATACGTGATAAAATTCTTGACTTAATTTTATCTAGGACAGTTGAGATGTGGCTAGCAATTAAATTCAGCACATGTATTTCATCCTATTTGAGACTCATCATCTGGATGTACCTTAATCCCAAAGTTGATATTCGCTCTTCGACTCGCTTCAAATACTAACGCGTTATCCACTTAACTACCGGGTGCACAGAGCCACCCATTTATGCGACTGAAACGAATTACGACTTCATCTTTAATAATTTGGATTATCCCATTGTTCACATTCTGACTGAATTTGAATCAGTCTTAGTTGGCATATATGAGGTGAGAATAAACTTCAATCCCGCTTATGATTTTGACCTTCCACCTGGCAATCAAATAAAATGAAATGGGAATTCTTATCTACACTAGCATAATCTATGATGGAGGGCGTATATCATTTTCTGTCATTTTTGCTACCTTATATGAAAAATGTAAATTTTTCTACGACGAAAATAGCACTTCACTATGTTACGAACGTGTTTAGTGTAGTTCAGTCAGTTATTATGTAAGAAACAGTACAGCAGAACAAACGTCGCACTTCAAATTAATTCTGTCATAGAAATTATTCCGAAATATTTACAATTAAGTGACTATATAAACGAAAACATAACTGTAATTACTGATTACAATACACTTAAATGACTTGACAAGGTGATGTTTTTTCTCAGCCCATATATACAGTCTTTGTAGATTGCCTCGATAAACCCATCACGATACATGTTTGTACAAAACTGATGGAATATGGCTGGCTGTGGAATCCAGTACACACGTTTTGTCATATTTGGGACTCAATGGCATTATGAACTAAAAACTTTCTCATATATTTGCTGTGATCAGACTAAACAAATCGTAGGATAATGTTATTATGGCCGATCTAAATCAATCACTGTGAATCAGTTTTTTTAAGCAAAGTGAGTAAAGTCATATGTGTACGGATTAGTCATTACACTCTAAACAGATCTGAACAAAAATTGTTCCAACATGATAAAATTTACCGTTTAATTTTAAGATTTCATCCATAAAGGCAATAAAATAACCAAAGATAAATAACTCAGCTTAAAATAATATGAATTGTTTTCGCTACTTGTTATATATAGAGCTTAGATTCTTAATAAACCACTTATGACTTAAGAACTCGAACTCGAGAACCCTCACAAGTCACAAATGAGAAGAACGAAGACGACTGGAAATAGTGCTTGTTGGGTAAAAACCAAAATGTACAGAAAATCATGTGTATTTATAGATATTATCGTTTGTCAACTCAACATTGTAATTCAACCAGTCCACAAAGAGGCACGTTATGCTATTGACCAATAGTAACATGCCACGTTGATATTCTAGAAAGCTTCATTGCGTTCTGATTGAATAGAACTCTTCGGCTCTTCTAATGCTTCTATAGGATCCGTCGTAGTTCTCGGAAGCCGTCCCACTACTACTATTCATTACTATTTATCACATTCCTGACTTGTAGCAACGATGTATTGTAGGCTTTTAAATAAAACTGTTAAGGACCTTATATTTTTCAAATATCTCATAACACCATAAGCCAACGTCAGAATGTAAATAATGATCATTACTAACATTTACTTAAACCACATCGTAAAACTATATGCCTATCAATAAATGATAGAAGTCAAATACATTTAACAAGTTCAAAGAACATAAACGAACAGTTAAAAATTTCATAATATCCATTACTCTAAATTTTGCATCAGTTAGCGAACAAGATCACTTTTTTTACCTCTTCAGATCCCTCGTAATTTAATAAGGTAGCCATAGACATTGGTCACAAGCTATTCACAATATTGGTGAACACCCCCGACCGTTGTTGCTACCTTGACGTGGTGGTCGGGCTTGCCTATCGTGATGAAGCAACTATACTGGCTGGAACAACCGTTCCTCAACGTCCTACCATGTCAGACAGGCCGGTTGAAGAGTGGTAAGACTAAAAGCTACAAACCCAAGGTCCGAAGGCTAAGTCGTACTGCTGACTGTACAGAGGTGTGACAGCAGTAAGGTGATTCCTTCAGACATCTAGCACTACAGCGATGCCGCCTTCCCTCGAGGAGGGGTGGGGTAAGAAAAGGTCGACCCTAAAAATGCACACCTCGCCTTATCCCACGGATATCCGTCTCCGGCGGTAAGGTCTCAACAAGTACGGAGCTAACACAAAAATTACCCATAAACAGGTCGTGTGTGACCGACCTCAAACAGTTGTTCCTTGGGCGTTGCGGTCACGCTCTCAGGTCACTAAGACCACCTCTAATCCAATTTCCTTTTCAGGCACCTCTAGAAGAACCATTCCACGGTGTGGGCAACCGGGAAGTGATAACCGCCCTCAAACATCTAACACCACTCAAGATCGGTGAACACCTAATCAAGTACGCTAACTGTTTGATACTGGTCAGTGTTTTATCATTACTGTACTTATTCAAAGATGGTTTATTATTGTTGTAACGTGTGTGACTGCAGGTTTTGATAAGCAGCGTTTTATTGATCGGTTCGGTGACAGTGACACGGAAAACACGCAGTGGACGACCTAGTGCCCCGACTGGCCCTGCTTCGCTGTCTATCCTAGCCAGTTGAGTCAAGAACACAAGTCACAGCCTCTGAGTTATGAATCATTGTATTTCAGACATACACTATTTATATACTAACCAAACAAACCACATCGTACCATAAAGTAGAGAACAACATTTACACAATATTTAACAAGTGAAATAAACATCGACCAATAGGAAATGTACATTTAAGGTCCAAGGCCACCATAGACTTAACACGATAACTATTGGTATATTTTTCCTCAGCATCCATAACAATTATATTGATAGCTATTTTACTCCCTATTAGTTTTAACTGAAATTTGAGACCAGTGAGTTATCTTATTACTATCATGATGTCTTTCAAAAGATGTGACTGTTATATTTTCATTGTCCAAAACTCGAATAGCACACCAGCCCCATCAAATCTAATGTTATAAGATAGAAACAATAAATGAATCAAACTATTATGAACTTATTGTTTCATAGATTTTTTTTAATGACCATGTAATCCTATTTACGGCTAGATGTTGGTAGTATTACATAATTATAAATTGTGACATAATAGTTGAAATGATCTAGATCATCACTATCAACTATTTACATTTGAAGACTGAACTTGAAAACATGAGTATGATCAAAAAGCAATAATCCATGTGAAAACAAGGAAAATTTAAAAGGGTATACAAAGGTTCAGAAAATTAGGTATGTGTAAATCATACAGTGGGATACAAGAATAGCTTCAAAATGGATGGAACAACATATAATTGAAGGTATTCAAAAGAATCCTGAAAGGAAGAAA